CAGTGAAATCCTCAATTGTGTTTAAAGTTATTTGTGTTAAAAACAGTTAAGTGATGTGTACGATACACCTGAATGGGTCAAACATATTTACGTTTTAAAAGATTTAAAGTTATTTTAGTTTGTTTTGGAGGGAAAGTCGGGCTGAAAGATTCACGACAGATGTTCAGCGGTCAGATGTGGTTTCACAACAAAATGGCGGCTAAAAACAGTTTGTTGAACCTTTTTCTGGAGGGTTTGTCTCCAACACATCTGTAATCAGAATCTGCTCTTCTTCTTGACAAAACGCTCTAAACGAGGTTACCTTCCCCTTCGGGCTCTTCTCGTTGGCGGGATACATGAAGATGCCTCCGTAGGCGATGGTTCGATGGACGTCAGAGACCATGGAGCCCACGTACCGAGCTCCGTACGGGGAGCCACCGTCCTGCAGGACCACAACATGACATTCAGGTTTTAAATCATTCTCAAGGTTTCAGACTCAGAAACGACCAAATAAACAATGTTTCTGCTCAAAACATGAAGTTTTAGCTCATAAACTAACAAAATTTAGGATTAGAAAACAGAGAAACATCATTTTCTGTCAAACCACAGCTGAACATTTTCTGCTGAAAAGGATTCTTCACTGAACTGTTCATGTGAAATGAATTGAAACAGCTGACATTTGCTGAAAGCAGCTAAATAAAAGCAGAAATGTGTGGAAAAAGCTGATTTGAGCAGAAATCAGCAGAATAAGGTGAAATAGGCACAAAAAAAAGACTGAATTAATTACAAATAAATCTGAAATTAGTAATAAAAACATTAAAACAAGCATAAAATGTTGAAATTATTAGAAAGGAGCACAACAGGCAGAACATTTACAGAAAAATATTTAAAAAAGATAGCTGAAAAAGCAGAAACAAGATGAATTTAGCAGAAAGAAGCTGCAAGGAGCTGAAAAATTATTTAAAAAAAGTTAAATTAGCCACAAGAAGCTGAAACTAGCAGAAAAAATAGCTATAAAAAAGGCAGAAATGTGCTGAAGGAAGTTTAAATTAACGCAAACACACTGAAAAGTGGTAATAAAATTGAGCTCATTTTGTTGAAAGAAGCTGAAAGGAGAAAAATAATTAAACCAAGCTGAAATTAGCAAAAAGAAGATGAAAAGGCAGAAACAAGTTGAATTTAGCAGAAAGGAGCTGAAAAATAACAAAACAAAATCTGAAATTAGCAGAACTGAAAAAAGCTTAAATGTGCTGAAGGAAGCTTAAATTAGCACAAATGAGATGAAAAGGGATTTAGCTGAAAGGAGGATAAAAATAATTGAACCAAGCTAAAATTAGCAGAAAAAAACTGAAAGGCGCTAAAGGCTGCTGAAATTATCAAAAAGAAGCTGCAAAATAAGAAAAACGCTGAAGTTAAACTCTCAGTGTCTCAGAGTCTTAAAACATTTTGTTCATCTCAGTGAATCACAACAAAATCCAGCAACAATAATCCAGTTTTATTCTGACACTGTTTAATCCCTGAGATTACAGCTCCTGTCTACATCAATAAAACGAGTTTCAGACGAGCTCCAGAGGTCCAGGTGGTTCTGATCCAACAGAAAACTGCTCGGTTTGAGTCTTTAAAGCCTTTGGCTCAGGTAACAACAGAGAGGTCAAAGGTCACAGGAACAAACAGGTAAACAGCTGATTCAGGATCAGACGATCTGAAGCTTCTTTAAAACGTCTCTGTTAAAAGAACATTTCAGTGTTTTAGGATTTAATGTGTGAAAAGCTTCCGTTAAATTAAACTCTGAAGTTAAAGTCAGTTTAATAAAACTCAGAATATTTAACTTTGTGTGTGAATAAGTCTTTAAACGTTAAACTGACAGTGGTTCTGTTGTTTTTCGTGGACCTTGCAGATGTTTGTGGCCCAGCTGGTTTTGATGAGCCGAGGAAACAAACGAGGCCTGAAGGCACGCTTCAACCTCGTGACTCAGACTGAAGCGCTTCGTAACTCCTGAGTCACGCTGCGGGGAGGAACAGAGGTTTGGTGGCACCGCAGGCGTCACGAGTGTTGGACTCCGTGGTCAGCGCCTCTTTCTTCACTTCAGAATAACTTTTAGGAATCAGCAGATAATGGAGCGTAAACAGATGAGTCACGATGAAGAACCGGGCCGCAGCGTCACGTTTGGACCGCTGACAGCAGAGTTTCCAGATGAGCGGCCGCAGGTTCCTGAGGAACAAACTGGCTCAGCTGACCTTCATCCTGTCTGTCTTCATCGTCAGCTGCTCAGGCACAAATATTTCCTCGGGTCAGAGGTCAGAGGCTGCAGGAAGTCACGACAAAAACCTCTTCCTGTTTCGATCGTGACGTTCCTGTAATCTGTCATTTGGGATTAACAGTCCTCCAGAACTTCTGCAGCTCCTCAGATCTTTAAATGGGTCTTTCCCAGAGCTGCATTCAGATATGTCCCGTGTTTATCAGATATTTTGCTAACAGACAAAGAATCAAAGACACAAACACATTATCTCCCCTTCGCCTCTGGCTGCAGACGATAAAGTTTCGAGGAAAGTCCGGCAGCTTGGAAGGACAACGTAAAGAAATTAATGGTTTAAAACTTTTGCACTCTCATATCAACCAGTTGTTGATTAGTTTGTGTTTGATCTGCAGGATCAAAGAGTAAAACAAAGAAAAGTAAACTCATTCAGGCAGATCAGGAGCCTCGTTAGCCTCTGACCTCTGACCTCTGAGCGTCGACATCAGCCGAAGGAACGGCTTCGGCTGTGAGTCCGTTTTTTTTTTATATTTATTTTTTAACTTAAACTTTGGTTAAAGGTTTCAGAACCACAAAAACAGCTTGTTACCAAACCTCTGGCTCAGGTGGACTCACATGTGTGTGAAGCTGGAGGTACTTCCTGTGATCTCACCTGGAGTTACTTCCTGTGATCTCACCTGGAGTTACTTCCTGTGATCTCACCTGGAGGTACTTCCTGTGGTCTCACCTGGAGACACTTCCCGTGGTCTCACCTGGAGACACTTCTCGTGGCCTCACCTGGAGACATTTCTCGTGGCCTCACCTGGAGA